ATGTCGGGAGGGGAATGGCGCAATCCTCCCAGAGCTATTATACTCAACAGATAAAGGGGTGGGTGGAGGAGATAAACGCCACAGATGAGGAAACAGGTCCTGTCCTCCTTTCTGTCCCTCTCATAAGCTCGCTCCCTAGATACCTCAGTGCTTCCAGTGCCACCTCCCGCCCTGCTGGTCTCTTCAGTCTTCCTCCTCCCCTAGCCCACCCTTCCCCAACCTAACCCCACTCCCCAACATTCCCCTGCCACCGCCTCTTCCTCCTCACAGTCTCAGGCCTCCTCGGCTCCTCTGTCCCCAATCCCTGACCGAGCGCCCCACACACACTTCTCGGCGGTCCCACTCCTCATTCTCCCCATTCAGCCCGCACACCCGTATCTCTCCGAGAGGCCCCACTCTGCTGGTACCCACTCTGTCTGCCCTTAGCCCCCCACTGCTCTCCAGTCCCCTCACTCACGGACCCAGCGTCCCTTTCCAGTCAGCCGACGGCTGCCCCGCCCTCACCTTGATCTCCTCCACCCGCCGGGTCAAGCGGCTGATCCGGGTGGCCAGATCCTCTTTCTCCAGCCTCCCCGAGTGTGCCAATACTTCTGTCACAAACGAGGCCATCGCCACGACGGAAACCAACGCCGAGTGGGTCACTTTCTCGCAGCCAGCGCGGCAGCTCGGTCCCGCCGGCGACTTCGGCGCGCGGCCTGCCGGGAAACGGAGTCTCCCGGGGCCCAGACCGCAGTACGGAAGGCGAGGGCCGCACTACAACTCCCAGCAGGCCCCGCGCCAGCCTCACCGTGGGATTTCCACGGTGTCCCGTAGTTGGCAAACTGGGCGGAGACACGTTTTCTTCCTTAGTTTTCAAATAGCTTGTCGCTTCCCGCCCATTTTTCATAGAAGAAGTTAAATGGTTTTCATCTAAAACCTGCCCTAACTGAACCTTTCTCAACTTCAAAACGCTTACCTGCGAAATTATCTAGCCGGAAGACCCAACGAGCCATCTGGCTCTTCTTTCATTAAATATTCACTCTCATTGGCCGCAGTGGCCGTCAGAATCTATGTGAATGTTGTGCAACGAAGTAGCGTCATCTCATTATAAATAAAAGGCTGCCTATAACTGCACTCCTTTTATATAACATAGTTTATATTAAATCTATGTTCATATATTACATCTATGTAATAATTACATATTTATATTACCTAGGTATAAACATTAGTCCTATTTCTTAGCACTTTCTATCAGAGATTAAAAATCAATTTTATCAAAAGCTTTTTAAAATTAAGTTTCATTATCTAAATGTATTGCATACTGAATGTGTTTACAATATACTACGTATAATATGATTCCTTTTTAAAATATAAATGAGTATGAGGGCCGGCCCCGTGGTTCACTTCGGAGAGCGTGGTGCTGACCACACCAAGTCAAGGGTTAAGATCCCCTTACCGGTCATCTTTAAAATATATATATATACATATGTATGTGTATATATTTTGTGTATATATATAAATATATATATTTATATTTATATATATATATAAATATTTAAATATATATAAATGAGTATGTATGTAAAGGATGTGCAGATGTACCTTGACTTATTTCCAATAAACCCATTGTAAATAAAAATATCGAATTTCGATTTAGGATATTTTCAATTTACAATGGGTTTATGGGACGTAGCCCCATCGTTAAGTCAAGGAGTTTACCGAATGCACATAGCTTTCACACCATCACAAAATCGAAAAGTAAGTACAACCATCATAAATCAGGAACCATCTGTACACCAAATTATTTCTCTGGGTGATGGGCTTATGAAGTCCTCTTCAGGACATCAAAACGGATGGGCTCTTTCCCTGTTTTTTTATTTTTCTACAAAAAAAATATACTGCTTTGATTCAAATATTATCTTCCATTTTTTAAAAAAGTATCTTGTGAGGATTGCCTCAAGTAGGTGCTGACCCTAAGGTCCCTACCAATTTTAAGTGTCTGTGGAACAATCTGCTTATCCTAGTGAAGCAAGAGCAGCTTCCTGTGCTGTGAGCAAAGGAAATGAAAGTGGGGATGAGACAGGAAGCACTGAAGGCAGAAATAACATTCTGGGAAGCACCTCTCCCCAGAAGACCAAATCAATTTCTGTTTGGCAGCCTTATTTTGAATTCTAAATACCAATAATGATAAGTGCCCAATTACTAAGAAGGACCTACAGATGAAATTTCTGAAAACTTGTATATTTATTAAGCAATTACTACATGACAGAAACTATACTAGGTGTGGGGATCCAAAACATGTGAATAAATAATGACAGAAAAAATATAACTACTGTTTTGGAGGTAGATGAGGGATGGATCCAGATTTAGTGTAACCTAAATCTCATACAGTTGCAGGGAGAGGGAGGATGCTTAAGGAATATAAAATAATAAATACAAAATTAGGTGCAGGCCTTGGACGGGACCTCTGCAAGTAACAAGACCTGAAGCTTAATCTACCTTGAGGAAGGTGCAAAGAGCAGAGGAAATAATGGTGGAGGAGCATCTAGTCTATGACTGCATCAAGGAGGAATTTGAACTGAGAATAGAAAGAGGTGTTACTTTAAGGTTGAGGTTCGGAGATCTTCCTCCAGGAAATCTATCCGTACGTATCTACAAATACAACCATGTAGGCTCCTGCCTCACCCTGAGCAGAGAGACTACTGGGTAAGGTGAGGGCTGTTCCTCAAAGTCCAAGAAAAAGTCAGGGAAGAGCCAGAAGTAGGCTGAGGACGAAAAAGCACACGTAATAGAGGGGATTGCTATGTGCAGTCAATGCATGCAGGAATGAATGAATACTTGAATAAAAAAAAGAAATTAATAAATGAGTTTTGCTTTTCGTCACTCACCTGACCCTCTTTATAGTTCACACTTATCATGGTTTATGTTTCCCAATTCATAGATTTTCTCAAATCATTAGGAAAAGGCAAGGAAATCAGGAGCAATATCTGACAAGATTTCTCCCTACCTATCATGGCTCACATATATGTGGCATACCTGGACTCAGGAAGCAAAGTATCAAACACACAGTTCTGGCCAGGGATAGTACAAGCAGACGGCATTTCCAGATTTGCATAGTATCTGCCATAGTGTTGATTAGCACATGTGGTTGTTATAAAATCAGCAAAAGGAGTTACAATTTTGAGAGAGAACCCCATTTCCTTCAAAATAGCATAAAAAGCGGGGGATGGGTACAGGTATGGATGAAACAAGATAGGTACGAGTGGATAATTTTTGAAGCTGAGTGATGGGATATGGGATTTCTTTATACCATTTGCTCTCCTTTGTATGTATTTGGATCCCTATATAGGATCCGAACTCGTGGCCTTGGTGTTATCAGCACCGCACTCTCCCGCGTGAGCCACGGGCCGGCCCATCCAGTCATCTTTAAAAAAAAAAAAAAAATGTGAACAGAGGAACACTTTGGTCAGACATTTTTGGCTTCAGTATAATAAATTCAAGTTTTCTCCTGTGTTTTTCTGTAAAGACTAACCCTCATCCACATGCTAGGTCACCAGTGTGCAGGGGTGGGGCAGAAGTCACTGCTGCGGACCGGGGACAAGAATGTGAAATGTCCAAGTCCCAGCCACCTGGCTCAAGTGTTCAATCTGTTTGTTGCCCACCAGCTGGGGGGGACCTTGGCAAATTACCTAATGTGAATCGCACAGTGACAGTATAAAAATTAAATACAGATATGAAGCATGTAGCCAAAAGTCTGGCATTTAGCTGTACTCAGTAAATGCAAATTATTTCCTTTCCTGTCAGAATCTGCTACTTGGCAGCAGCAACAAACAGGAATGAAAGCTGTTATGATCACCTTATTTATAGCTACTGTCCTAGCAGTGGCAGGAGCCTCAGAAGGGAGCTCTTCCCTCTGGGTATATTCTGGGTATAGGTAGGTTCCTTGGATTGAGGAATTTTAAAATTTTTTTAAATTAATATTTGTTGGATTTCCAGTTTTCAAAAATATAAAATGATAAATTGGTAACATTTATAAAATACATACAAAAGCAAAAATAGGAAAATAAAAACTATTCATAACCCTACCACCAAAATAATCACGGCTAACATTTTGTGTGTGTATATATATATACACACACACACACACATACATATATATATATATACACACACACACACATGCAAGTGTATGTACAAGTATTTATCTATATATACACACACACAGATGCGTGCACTTTTTTGTGAAAATGAAATTGCATTCTATATACTCTATATACTGTTTGGTCATCTAATATACACACACACACATGCAAGTGTATGTACAAGTATTTATCTATATATACACACACACAGATGTGTGCACTTTTTTGTGAAAATGAAATTGCATTCTATATACTCTATATACTGTTTGGTCATCTACTTTTCTCACTTATAAACACATCAAAAACTTTTCATGTCATTAAACTTTCTTCTATAATATCACTTTAAAATGGCTGCCTAGTAGTACCAAAATCTACAGTTATTAACAATATTTCAATGGACATGTTCATAAATCTTTGTACATACTTACTATTAATTAAGTAAATTCTTGGAGATAAGATGCTGGGTCAAAGTGTACATATATTTAAAAGTAGGAAACATGAAGTCATGCTCTCCAGAAAGAGTATATCAATGTATATTCCTAGAACATCTTTCTCATGATCTCAGAGCTGGGGAGTGATTGTAAGACTGTGAACTTATTCATCAGATATATATTGATGGCTTACTGGATGGCTTTTTTTTTCCTCTCATGCGACCCTCCCTCAGAATCCACACCCACATCTGATCTTGGACACACCCCCTAAACCAAAACATTGCCAAGTTCCTGGCACCTGCCTCAGCTGCAGCCCAGAAAACTGAAATAAAAACCCTCTCCTAATGTGAAAGATCTTCCATTCAAGCCTCCCCAGAAGTAGTCCCTGCTAACTAGTCATTGAGCAACACTTCCTCCTTTTCTTTCTGCCTTTGCGGTGGGAGCAACGATGGCCTGGAGTTTCCATGGGAAAGTGCAGCTTGGGGGGCTGCTCCTCTGCCTTCTTGGCTGGGTATGCTCATGTATCACCACCGTCCTGCCCCAGTGGAAGACTCTCAACCTAGAACTGAATGAAATGGAGACCTGGATGATGGGGCTCTGGGAGGTCTGCGTGAATCAGGAGGAAGGTGCCACTGTGTGCAAGGTCTTTGAGTCCTTCTTGTCTCTGCCCCAGGAGCTCCAGGTATCCCGCACCCTCATGCTAGCCTCCCAGGGACTGGGACTAGGGGGACTTCTGCTCTCTGCCTTCGGGTCTGAATGCTTCCAGTTTCACAGGATCAGATGGGTTTTCAAGAGGCGATTTTGCCTCCTGGGAGGGACTTTGGAGGCATCAGCTTCAGCTACTACCCTCTTTCCCATCTCCTGGGTGGCCCACGCCACCGTCCAAGACTTCTGGGATGACAGCATCCCTGAGATTATACCTCGGTGGGAATTTGGAGATGCCCTCTTCCTAGGCTGGGCTGCTGGTATTTTCCTAGCTCTTGGTGGGCTACTCCTCATCTTCTCGGCCTGCCTGGGAAAAGAAGATGCACCTTCTCCCTGGAGGGCTGACCTGATAGCTCCACCATCCTGTGCTCCAGTGGAAGAGTCAGACGGCTCCTTCCATCTCGTGTCAAGACCTAGTAACCTGGTCGTCTAGGACTGGCTTCTGCCAAGGGATCTCTGGAATAAAGGAATGTCAGTAGAGTCCTTTCTCTTCCTTACTGCTCATTGCTCTGTATTTGTTTGCCTCATTTTGGGGGATGGTGGTCACTGTCCCACTTGTCAAAAATTTGATAATCTTGGTGATATGGTGATTCACATTTCAGAATGAAAGATCAGGGCACAGGGTTTAACAAACATGCTTTTCTGAAAACATGATTTTTGGTTTTGAGATTTTATTTATATAAAAATGCTTTCAAACTCATAACATTAAACTCATATATATATCTGATCCTTTTATTACTAAGGAAAAATACATTAAAATACTGCATCCATCAGAGAAAATCTAATGTGAAGAGGCACTGTATGTATAGCTACAAAGCTGACGAAGGTGCCTTGGCAAAGGAAAATGAATTATTGGCACAGAATAGCACCATAGGAGAGCAATCCTCCTTTGCATCCATTTTCAGTCTCAGATACACAATTTGGTGCGTAAAAAAAACACATTTTTATTGCAGTAAATCATACATAATATAAGGACTGCCATTTTAAACATTTTTAAACATACAATTGTATGGAATTAGTTACATTCACAACACTATGTCACTACTACCTCTATTTCCAAAACATTTTCGTCATCCTAAACAGACTTTGTACTCATTAAGCGATAACCTCTCATTGTTCCCCCCACCTCTAGTAAGTCAGAAAACTGCCTGCAATGCTTATCTTATCAGCTACCCCTTCTCAATCAAGTTTCACAGCTCTTTGGGTCAAGTTCCAATCAGGGGTAAGGCTCAAATATCCAAGTGTTTACTTTCCCCCCCCCAGTGTCTACAAGAAGGAACCATTTTATTATTCATCCATCTGATCATATATTCACCCATGTAACAAATATTTATTGAGCACCTACCATGTGCCAGGCCCTGCACTAAGAACCAGTGATGAAATGGTAAGACAAAATTTATCCCTGCCTTTCATTCAGGCAAAAAGGGGAGACAGATATTAATGTGAAATCACTTAAATAAATGTAAATTGTAACTGACAAAATTTACAAATTTGGAAAGGTGCATGGTCCTATAAGATCATGCAATAGAAGGGATTTAACTCAGTCAGGAAGTCATGGTTGGGTACCCTAAGGAAGTGATAACTAGCTAAATGGTTAAGGGTGGATAGCAGTGCTACATGAAGAGGGGAAAGGAAAATCTATAAGGTGAGGCTGAGAAAGTAGGAAGGAGTCAGGCCTTGCAGGGCCTTGCAGGCCATCGGAAAGAACATGGTCTGAATTCTTAGGACCATGGGAAGCCAAGTGCATGGTCCAGGAATAGATGCTCAGCCCCCAGCCGACTGTGGCAGTAATCTGCTCTTTCTTATTTAGCAACTCATCTCTGGGCAGTTTCCTTATCACACAGTTGTGTAGGGTTTAAATGCTTTCACATATCTTAGTAGTCTCACTTAACACATCTTGAAAGATTTTTGTGTGGGCCGGCCCAGTGGCGCACTGGAGAGTGCGCTGCTTGGGAGTGCGGCGGCTCCCGCCGAGGGTTCGGATCCCATGTGGAGACCGGTTCCCGCTCACTGGCTGAGCCCGGTGCGGGCGCAACACCGAGGGTTGCGATCCTATTACTGGTCAGTAAAAAAGACAAAAAGGAAAAAAAAAAGAAAGACGTTTGTGGTTTGGAGAGCAGATATTATTCACTTTGCTAATAAGGAAATTGAGATTCAGGGAATTTAGGCAACATGCCCATGGAGAGTAATTAGCTGAGTCAGGACATGAACAAAGGGTTTTGATGCCATGGCTGCCTTTCTTCACCTCGTCCTGTTGCTTCATGAACTGGGTTGCCTAGACAATGCACCGAAACAAAGGGAAGAGTAGAACTGAAGCAAAAAATGGAAATGGAAAAACCAAAGACCAACAAAGAAAACCCTCCTTTGTGCTTATGTTGAGGTCCAAACAGGCTCTTTGATGCCAGATGGCTCACCTGCTCTTGCTGGTGGCTTGCAGCCCTCATCCTGATCCCACATGTGCAGGTGCTGATGATTTTTTTTTTCATCAGCATGTGATTAGGGCTTTCTCTGCAAAGAGGAAGATTTGTTAAGAAAATATTCTGTCTTCCCAACTCTCCTTCTAAAGGTCACACACATTTTTGAAAAATGGACATGGGGCAAGACTGCTGATGACATGTTGGCCAAGTAGGCAATGGCATGTCAGCCCCAGAAGGGAATGTGATCTGCATTTGGGTGAGAATTCACCTTTAGAGAAAGAGTCTGAGGAAGGAGACGCTGATCACCTAAAACTGCCACTGTTTTTATCCACCTGCTTTGAAGGGGGAAATAATGAGAAATAAGAGTAGAACTAATTAAATCTTAGCTTCAACACAGCCTTTTCTCACAGAGATTTGCGGCAAATTATTGCAATATTGAAAACATTTCTTTATTGTGGTTACACATGGAGAGGGTACAGTCAGGTGTGCTAGAAAGAGATATGAATCAATCAATATTTCAAGTCAAAAGCTTCTGTTATGTGCAAAGCATTGTAAGAAAATAACTCAGGGACTCACTAAATTTGATGCAGCTCAATGCTATCTTCTCCACAAGCCTGTCCTTGGGTCTAAAAATTTCACCATTCATGGTTAAGACATTCCAGAAAGTTCCTATTAAAATACTCATTGGCTACCTTTCTGAGCCTCTGAACTAGCTCTAGGGGAAAAGTCCTAAGGGAACCTGATGTGCGTTAGATACACTTGGGGTGGGAGGGAAGTCAGAAATGGTTTCATAGGCTTCTGGCCAGGAGATGTGTCTCAGCAGCCAGAGTTAGGACAATAAGAAAATCGGTCAGGAAAATGTTTGTTTGTTGTCATTGGCCTCTAATAGGGAACTGGAAGAAGCTGGAGTTTACTTTCCACTCTGTCAACTGACAGATTTTTTTTTTTTTAAGCAAGTCTGTTTTCTCACAACCCATCTATATTTAGAGGATGTGGAATGGACTTTTCTGTTGCCCAGAATTTTGAATAATACCTGAAAGCCATGTCCCATGGGTGATATGTGCATCATATTCTCAAGGGAGGGGCTAAACACATTGCTGATAAGAGGTGTCAATGGGTCAGACTTCAGACCCAATAGCCTTCAGGAGAGAAGCATCCAAATTTATTAGGGGAGGATTTTTGGAAGGGAATTCCTAACAGTTGAGAGTGTTGTGATGTTCTCTACCCTTCCCTGTGAGGTATGGGATGGAAATGGACCTCAAGAGAACCACTTATAGATCAGAGTTGTTCCCAGGAGGAAAGATCAGTATCTGAAGCATACCCATCCCACCCTGCCGAGCTGCAGAAATTCCATAAACCCACTCCTGCTGCCACCAGGATGGAGCCTAAGAAAGTTCTTGGGAAAACCTGACTTGAGTTGCAGAAGCATAGAGATGGGTGTCTGACCATCCCTGGAGCAGCCCGGAGGTGGGAGGCGGGCTGGAGTGGGATAGCGGCAGTGCCTGCATGTCTGCCTTTTCCTGGGGCAAGCTGGAGAGCATTCCATAGCCCAAATGGATGCTGAGGAAGGCACTGTCCCAGAGCACTGCTGGAAGGGGTGAATAACTAGGACAGGAGCTGAGAAGGACAGTAAGAGATCAGTCAGAAAACCCAAAAGCCATCAGGAATGAAGTGTGGAGGTTTTCTACAAGGTTCTCTGAAGAGCTCATAAAATGCCCCATACAATCAATAGGTAATAACTGGATTCCTACTATAACAAAAGCATTCAAGAGAGTAGTATAAACAATAGCTTTTTAACAAATAAAAAACATCCTTTGACTTCTCCCATAAACTCTTCTCCCCCAGGCTCTAGGGGAACCAAGTTGGGAGTGAGAAGAGGAAATGGAAGAAGGAGAGTGAAATATATCTGACATATCCTTCTGTACTGCTGGTTGCTGAACCTCAGAGTGAGGCCTGAACTAAGCACAGGGGAGAAGCACTGAAATAAACAGATGAACATGAACTTTGGATTTAGACTGCTCTGAACTCTATAATACATAAAAATAATTGTTTCCATACTCAAATATAACAATAAAGCTACAAGGTCTTCCTGAGATGCTGTCCAGGGGCACTGAAGGGAGATCCAAAAGATCACATTGAAGGTAGCAGTGAAAACAAAAATAAACCTGTTGACTCATCGGACCCTAACAAGTTCAGGCCACTCAATAAAGATATTAAAGAAAAAATACAAATTGAGCATCCCTAATCTGAAAATCTGAAATCTGAAATGCTCCAAAATTTGAAACTTTTTGAAAGACCAACATGATGCCACAAGTAGAAAATTCCACACCTGACCTCATGAGACCAGTAGCAGTCAAAACGCAGGCACACAACACAGTTTATTCAGCATCCCCAAGAGAAAATGCTCCTAGCCCCCTTTAGCTGCAATACATCTTTTCCACACATGCCCAGATACCCCCGTGTAAGCACACGCACGATGGGTAATAAAATGGCACAAGTGCAGCTGCACACACCAATGGCTGGTTCCCCATGATGCCTCACGTGGGGCCAAGACCTACCTGCACTACTCATTGGTTTTCTTGCTTATTCTCTGTTCTGCGGTGTAAAGATGTTGAAAATGTCAAAAAGGCCTGCAGATACCCCTAGGAATAAGAGTGACAAGATAAAGAGAAAGCATGTATGTTTATCAATAGCACAGAAAGTCAAGCTGTTGGAGAAACCAAATAGCAGTGTGTGAAATATCTTACAGAAGACTATGGTGTTGGAATGACCACTGTATATGACCTGGAGAAAAGAAGGATAAACTGTTGAAGTTCTATGCTGAACGTGATAAAATAGTGTAAAAATAGAAAAACACCACATAATGCTAAAAATGAATATCTTGATTGTGTATTGAAAGAGTAAATCCACCAGCGCTACAGTGAACACATGCCACTCATGGATGAAATAAGCAAAGATCTATCACAATTAACTGAAAGCTGACGGAAACTGAATATTCAATAGGCTGGTTGCAGAA